GTGTTTAGTCTCCACTCAGACTACATGTACAAATAAAATTTTTAATGTCACGTTTTTACTTACGTTTTTCGCTCTCTGAAGTAATAATGCCATTAATTTCAGGTTTTGTGTCGTTAAAATTTTAATGTTTGAAATGTTTTAAACCCATAGTGTAGCACTGACGTCCTTAAATCAATTTAAATAAATGCTAATAAATTGAGGAGTGACATTAATGAGGTTGTTTTACTAGAGCACCTAACTTTTCCGACGTGGTTTCCCCTTGTCAGTGGTGCAGAACGGCGGGCCTGGCAAGGACAGCTGTCTAGTCCTTCGGATGAGACGAAAAAACCGAGGTCCCGTGTATACATTGGAATGCACGTAAAAGATCCCTTGGCAATTGGAATTCGATATAAGAGTAGGCGATAGTACCGCTTACTGGGCAAAATTTACCTCATAGCACACTGTATGGCGTATGCCCGTCTTCATTAGCTCAGTATAGGAGCAAAACAGTAGGACGTTAAACCCCATTTCATTTCATTTAGAGCATCTAACACGGTTAGTTCTAAATGATAAGGCCAGCTCAATTTTTCGTCATAAGTCACGAGATGTACACAGGACTAGGGCTAATCCCAACCTTAACCCTAACCCTGGACCTAGCCCCAATGCTTACCCTAACCCTAACCTACAATCACGCCAACAATCACGTGCCCTAACCTTATTTACATCTCAACGACCCCACACACCACCCTAGATCTGTGACCTAATTTATTCGCGACAAATTTTAGAAATGTATGAACGATCACAATTTTAAGAAATGTATGAACGATCACAAATTTTAGAAATGTATGATCCATCGGAAATAAAAATCACAACTGACTGTAAAATATTACACGATTGCATTAAATGTCAATATAATAAATGTAGACCAATTATACTAAATATTTGCCTGTTTAAGTTTGCTTTGGTATTTAAGGAGTTGGCACACAGCAGTGCTTCAATCTCAGTTTACATTATTTTTAAACAGTAGGTATCTAGGTTGCTGCCCTGTCCCGGGTGGGGGGGGGGGGGTAAGCGCGAGCGCGTTGAATCATATGGTCTGTTACTGAGTCAACTGGCATGGATCCCCGGTTGTATGTGACAAGGAGGAGGGTTGCCTGTCCAACCTCGTGGGTTTTCTCCGGGTCCTTCGGTTTCCTCCCACTGCTAAAGACCCCTACACGCAAGCGAATGATTGAAATTAAATTGAACCGTATGTTAGTCCCGAAATGACCTAGCTGGACCTTCGTTTGTTAGGGGTGGCGTCCGTGTAACTAGTCTTTCGGAACCGAGGTCCGGTCGTGTACATACTGGTGTGTATGTAAGAAGCGTTTGACAATTGGAAACCATGAAAAGGTGGATGCGGGAAATGAAATGAAACTGGGGTCAACGTCCTGCACCAACCAGGATACTAAAGACAGCCATATGCCATGCAGTGTGCTCTGTGGAAAACTTTCCAAGGAGAGCTGGGCCCTGTTTCTCGAAATTTTAACTAAAGATAAAATCCAAATTTTAGTAGATACTTGAATTTTGATTAGCTAAGCACTAAAATCAATCTTATATTATCCAATCAAATTACTAAAATTTGGATTTTATCTTAGTTAAAATTTCGTGAAACAGGCCCCTGCTTATTGTTATTTCGAATTCCAACTGTCAGTGGTTCTTTACGTCCACATCAATGTATACACGTGACCTCGCAAATGCGCTTGTTATTTATTACAGATTTTATCATTTTATTCAAACGGGTTCTCGATAAACAAATAGTTCATTTGTTAAAATTTTAACCAGTAAAATATCAGGTGATATGCAGTATATGAGATTTATGATGGGCATATATAGGGTATATTGTCCTATATACCATATCTCCAGGCTATAAATATATAGTATACAAGCGAGCATTATTGTTCTTATACCACGAACAAGCGGTGATATATCTTTCGGATAATCCCCACTTTTGACTGTCTATTTTTTTACGTAATTGTACGGCAGGCCTGTGTCTGTAAACTGGAATGATGAATGAGCGAATGTCAAATGAAAGTTATACCTTCCAGCAAGTCCTGAATTATTGCTTTTAGCTGCAGGCATTATTTTTCAAGACTCAAACTTCAATTCATATTCATTGTTTTGTTCTGGGGCACTTTTGTATATTTATTGCATTTTCGAATTAGGCTCAGTATCCAGAATGTGTGTACATTTTTAAAAAAAAAAAATAATTACAGTTTATGAGAGAGAGAGAGAGAGAGGGGAAGAGAGAGAGAAACTAGGTGATTTCGGGACTAACATATGGTTCAATTTTATTTCAATAAATCGCTTGCAGTTGGAGACCCGGAGAAAACCCAATGACAGACCTTATGATACAACGCGCACGCACTAACCATTCGACAATCCACCCCCTATACAGTTTATGAATTACGTTTGACATCCAAGAAACATATTTGTTATACAACATTTTTTCATCAAACCTTCAAATATTGTTCTTGGATGTCAATAACGTTCATTTGTAGTAACTTATTTAATATATCATACCTGCGCTATCGCGGCCCCTAATCATTTAAAAGGTATGAAATGGGCAATAACACTCCTTATTTTCTAATTTAGCCCGAACAGCGGCGCTAGGGCCTACACTTTTACACCGAATTCCACCTGTCAGGGATTCTCCAACGTGTACATACACCGGACCCAGGTTTTTCGTCCCATCCGAACGACTAGACACTGTCCTTGCAAAGCCCTGTCCTGGACCAGAACCAGGACCTAGGTTTTTTGTCCCATCCGAACGACTAGACACTGTCCTTGCAAAGCCCCGTCCTAGACCAGAACCCGGACCTAGGTTTTTCGTCCTATCCGAACGACTAGACACTGTCCTTGCAAAGTCATCCGTCCTGGACAAGAGCTCATGCTAGAAAAGGGTATCCCAGTATTTAACAATACATGTACTTTACTGCAAATATAGGTTCTTTGCTGCACAATTGGTACAGTTCGAATTTATCCTACCAGATGTATTGTTAAAATTTCCTCAAACAATTTTCAACAAGTTTTGAGGAGAGCAGTCACCTTTAGCACAATGACATGTTAGCTATAACGTTTTTCAGTGTCTTGAATGATCGATCTAAAGAGGTTAACTAAATAATATTTGACGTCACTTTCTGTTAATACCTTACTGCAGGAAGAGTTTAAAGTGCTGGAGAGTATTGGCCCGGGCAAAGTGCAATGTCTTTATAAATTGTAATCTCTCGAGTATCTTGTGCTTATATACAGTCCTCATGTTTGTCCCATCAGTAGGCTGCTACTAAGCCCTTTGTGGGCCTACCTATCTTGGACTCATTATGTAAGGGGATTCGGGGGGGGGGGGCGAATGGTTGGCGCGTGCGCGTTGTTTCATAAGGTATGTCATTGAGTCAAATGGCGTGATTTCGATTCCCCGGTTGTACGTGGCAAGGAGTAGGGTCGCCTGTCAAACCTCGTGGTTTTTTTCGGGTCCTCCGGTTTCTTTCCACTGTTAAAGACCCCTACGCGCAAGCGCATTAATGAAATAAAAATTGAACCATATGTTAGTCCCGAAATAACCATTTCTCTCTCTCTCCATGTAACTGGGTTCAACAACTCACATACTAAGATGGGCAGCTATAGGGGACGTCGATTGTTGTGACATATAGACACGTAAAACGGAGAAGCAACCCAGAGAATCCGAAATGTCCATTCAAAATCCCTTTACAACGAACCCAGTGGTGCAGGGTGGAAGGGGCTTTTGGGTTGGATGAAAACCGAGGTCCCTAAAAGATCCCCTCATATAGTTGTAATTGGAAGAAGGGTAAGCGGAAAAGTCGCTGCAGGAGCAAAATTTCCACCATATCACACTTCGTGGGGTATGCCCGTTCTTCATTATCCCATTTGGGGCAGAAAAGTACAATACGTTAAACCCCATTTCATTTCATTTACTTTACAGGGAATAGTATTTCCACAGTTTCTTATCGTATAATGCCGAATATTTTACAGAGAAGAGGTGAAATGGTGTTTAACGCCCTACATATAAACCCGTGATATATAGGTTGGCGCCCAGGTCCATTCACTTAATTTGATATTTGTTTATTTTTTTTGCAATGTCTATATTCTGTCTTGTCCGGTTCGCCATATCTGCAGGTTTATCTTGTAGATTTTTTATTTTGTAGTGCGAACCTATATCAAAATCCTTGACCCACGGATTGGTGGGTCTTTTGACAGTTCAGAAAATTCAAAACAAGGGTTGAAACTCTCGTCGACCTTTAACGTCCACTAGACACAAACTACTAGTTCATTTCTGGACTAACATATGGTTTAATTTTATTTCAATAATTCGCTTGTGCGTAGGGGGTCTTTAGCAGTGGGAGGAAACTGGAGGACCCGGGGAAAACCCGCGAGGTTGGACAGGCGATCCAACTCCTTGTCACGTACAACCAGGAAAATCGAGACCGCGTCAGTTGACTCAATGACAGGCCTCATGATTGATGCCATTTAGAGAAATGAGTTTCAGTTATTATTCGAATGAATCCTATCAGTGTTAGAACTAAAAGTCTAAAATTATTGCCTATTGTCGGTAGATCTATATTATTTAAAAATAAAATTTCGAAGGATAAATATTTCACCTAATCATTCGTGCGCCTGGCCTTTATACCAAGACCTTTACAGATCCTTACAAAATTAATTTCCATTAATGCCATTTCTCTCTTTGTATTGGTGTAATAAAACGGTATTAAGCATGCACAATAACTTTAATATCATAAAATGGATATGGTAGGTAGACACGCGTACGCTGAACGTTCTAAATCCCTCCATTTTCACGGGTTTGTTGTCAAAATGTAACCTGTATTGTGTCAATCAAGCATAAGGCGTGGATAAAAGCCATAAACCATTTTAGCCATACCGTTAGTAGGTCATACTGCCATTAGACTGTGCGCGTGAAAGTAAACTACCGCGTCCTGTATTTTGATTGGCTGAGAGAGCGGACGAGATCGATTTATGCGATTCGGGCCGCCATTTGCTGTTGTGTTCATTTGTGAGTGGCATAAGTTAACATCCCTCCCTTTTCTATCGCTTAATCAGTATTTATGTCATCGAATTCACTAAACACGTGAAGATAATACATCTTCATACATCGGACTATCATAACTGTGCTCCCGATCTGGGATTCCTAACGGATTTATTGGAGAATTCGTCGGTTCGTCCGTACGACTGTCAGTGTGTTTCGCCATGGACGACCAACAAAGGCTCATGCAGATACAGAGTAATGTGGCTGCCATGAACAACTCTGTAAATATGGGGCAACAGCAAGGCTACGAGAACATGCAGCCTACGGCCCCTACAGACCCAGACAGAAAACAAGAAATAGGAGATATATTACAACAAATAATGACTATCACCGATCAAAGCTTGGACGAGGCTCAAGCGAGGTGGGTGTCAGGGTAAGCAAGAAATCGTTCAATTTTTTCTACTTTTATTCTTCTCTCTTTCTTAATCGTATTCGTGCCAAGTTAGACGTCTGGAAAGGGTTTCCTTCAGGAGTCAACCATGGTGTAATTGAAAAACAAAAATGGAACCGGTACCGAATAATTGTTTTGCACAACCGCCTGTATAATATTATCAGTCCTACTTTCTCGAGTCCATGACTTCCATTCAAAATCCAGAAAAAATTCTTGAAATGTAACACAATTTAGGCAATCAATGCAATAGGTCCATTTTAATAATTATCACTACATGTACTTTGTTGACATTCGGTTTGATATTTTGCTCTTTTCAGGAAACATACGTTAAACTGCCACCGAATGAAACCAGCTTTATTTAGTGTTTTATGTGAAATTAAAGAAAAAACTGGTAAGATTTACATGCATATTTTATTTTAAAACATACCAGGAAATCAAAAACAACCTGTAGTAGGAAATTAAGTGCTTGTCAGTCGGGACTGTCATCCAAATGAAGTCTTCAATTTTGTGAATATTAATATTACTACACGTACACGTGCGTCTTGTGTTGGTCAACAAAAAAAAAAAGACCCTGGTAAGTCGGACACTGAAATTAGTTCATTTTCAGAATTGAATGACAATCACAATAGTTTTTGACTTCTTACAGTAAACAAATGTTTAGATTTATAGAGTTTTCAAACTTAGAAATATTTGGGAACTTTGTAAGATTCATTAAGGTTTTAGATGGCTATATAATAATATAGTAGGCCTACATTTGATACCATACAAGGGTTGGACATGGTTGGTTTTTAGTTATAGCAATGCCTAAAATAGTAAATATGACACCCATATGTATTATTATTAAGCATATTACTTTTCACAGTACACATGTATGATATAAAGTTGATATTGCACATCAATATTCCACTCTAAAAATCATACTGGGTATAATATACATTATTATATTATGTACACCAGAGTTGACTGAGTGATATTGTATACCAATATTCCATACTATATCTTGGTATAATAGTAATACCCCACAGTTTGATTTTATAAGCTTACATTGTATTACAGTACTGTGGGATTAATTACAACTTAGTAACAAATGATCAGGTTGCATGCCCCCCCCCCCCTTCCCCAAATCCCTTGAAAAACACAGTACATTACACATCAAACTCTAAACAGTAGAATTGAATCAGACTTATTGTATCCTTCTAACGTCTTCCCTGGCAGAGAAAGAATCGTTTTCTTCTACACGTCATTCCAACTTTTTGTGTTCTTTCCGGGTCCTCTAGCTGTTTCCACCCACTGTTAAAGACCCTCGTACAAGTGTATTATTATTGAACTGAAATTGAATCATTTTACTTTAGTCCTGAAATGACCGAGTTTGTGAAGATTGAATGCTAAGCTCTTACTCCCCCTCTTCCCCCCCCCCCTCGCCCGACTCAGGTAGGCTACTGATTGGGGGGGCGTCTGTACAGGTTACTTTGTACACTGTAAGTTACTGCAGTCAATACCAATATTAAATCATGGAAGTTTTGATTCATAATTAATCTTATGCAATTCTTATTGGTGCGATAATCTCTTTAATTGAGATACCAAAATCTTAGGTCACTCTGGTGATCGAATGCATGTACCTTATTAGGTCATGAGGTCTGTCATTGATTGAGTCAAGTGGTGTGGATTCGACCAAAAACTTGTATGTCATGTGACAAGGAGTATGGTCACTTGCCCAACCTCGTGAGTTTTCTCTGCATTGTCCATGTTTCCTCCAATTGCTAAAGACCTCTACACACAAGTGAATTATTAAATATGACCTAGTTTATGTTGACTGGCTGTTAAACTCCATCTAATATGTGGTTAATGCATACAAGTAGGCCAATGGTAATTTTGATTCTTGTTGTTGTGTAAAGTAGGAGAATTTTGCCTAGACAGCAGTCTTTCCACCTATTCTTTGATTTCCTACTGTAAAGGGTTCTTTCACATGCACACTTACGTTTACACTGTTGGACCTTGGTCTTTGTCCCAACCAAATGACAGAGACACAATGGAGGTTGGACTTGAAAAATACTGATTGTCTTCTCGGTCCATCCCAGTGTCCTGAAAACACGGCTAACATTCCTTCTTTTGAAACTGACGTGGTTTCGATTCCCAGGTTGTTTGTCCAACCTTGTGGGTTTTCTCCGGGTCCTCTGGTTTCCTCCCACTGTTAAAGACCCCTATGCGCAAGCGAATTATTGATATAAAATTGAACCATATGTTAGTCCCAAAATGACCTAGTTTGTGTGGAGTGGAGCTTAAACTCCCTCTCGCTCTTCTTTTGAATAGATATAAATAATGTTGATGTTGAAATAAAATTGAGCCATATGTTAGTCCCGAAATGACCTAGTCTGTGTCAAGTGTACATTAAACCCCATTTCTCTCTCTCTGTATGGAGAATGTGTATTTTGGGTATATAGAGGGCTAGATACATCATACATCAACTTAGTTTATTGGTTGCATTGTAGAATGTGTATACTCGGAGAGAATAGAGGAGAGGGCTAGATACAGTAACTTGGTTTATTGGTTGCAATAGAGAATGTGTATTCGGAGTGTATAGGGGGCTAGATACAGTAACTTGGTTTATTGGTTGCAATAGAGAATGTGTATTCGGAGTGTATAGGGGGCTAGATACAGTAACTTGGTTTATTGGTTGCAATGGAGAATGTGTATTCGGAGTGTATAGAGGGCTAGATACAGTAACTTGGTTCCTATAGAGAATGTGTATTCAGAGTGTATAGAGGGCTAGTATAGAGTAACTTGGGTTATTGATTGTATAAGTAAGATCATAAAACTGTTACAAGGTGTTGATTACATCAATGTGATTAAATCAAGTTTATGACTTCTATATTTATCACCTAGGGTAATTACCTTCATCTTATTATACACAGAACAAACTGGACATGATTTCACTTGAAATAGAACTAAATAATGTTTCCAATCAATGGTACAAAATAGAAATTGGTTGAATAGGATACAAATTCTAATTGTTACAGATGGAACCATAGAAAAAAATTACTCTGTCCTCAAACAATTTGATAATGACATAGCTTTGTAGTGTACTGAAGCTTTTTCAATGAGTTATTAGTTAAACATCTGATTACTAATTAGGGTTTCACACTGCGTAGCTTGTGTGAAACACTATTGTTTTTGTTAAAATTATTATTCTTATTATTATTATTCTTCTTTTGTTTTGAGTAGATCTCAGCAACTGATTGTCGGATCGTTACGATTTCTTCGGTTTTATCGGAAAAGTGGGTGTGACTTAGAGGATAAAGCTATTTTGAACGTTCTGCGACAATGCGAAATGTCCGAAATCACCGAAGCTATCGTTTTTAGAAATATTGCAGTAATTTTAACAATAATCATTGGATTTTAACTTTCGATGCATTTTGGCATAGCCGGAGACGGGGCACATAGCTACGCTACTTTTGATTTTTGATTTTCGGCAAATCTTCGCAGATATTAGGCGCTAAATTTAGAAAATTTAAATTTTTACAAAAAACTTTTTTATTTATGAATATTTTTTAGTCGTGTTTTACACAAATATAACAAGTCCTCTGACTTGGGCAAAAATGTGAAAATTTTTTGTCTCGGTAATTTTCCTTGGTCCCCATTGGCTAATTCAGTTTTTCAGTCCTAGATTAATTATTTATTGTTCGATTTGTATAAAACAAAGTTCATATGCCCCGTTGTCTCAATTGTCATTTTTTTTGTTACCAATAGTGTTATCTGTCGGCACCGGAAGTGGCGTAAATTGACAAAAAACTACAATTTTGACAGTTAGGTACCATTTTTCGAAAGCAAATATTATTTTTTTCAAATCTGGTATAACTGAAATTGTGCGCCCTTTAAAGGCGCACAAAATGTTGGGACCAGTTTTTTTAATTTCGATTCCGTTTTCGGGCTATTTCGATTAAAAGGTGAAAAAAGGTGTGAAATTAAGCTATTTACAACCCATCCAGCGTTTTCATATTTTAAAATATTACTTCGTAACTTTCATAAACTCGTAGCAATAATCTATACGGAGAGAATGTATGTGAAAATTAATTTGTAATATGCGCAGTTGCCGAGAAATGGGCAATTTTGCATGAGTCACTTTTTACGCTAGTTTGCCTGTAAAAGAGTCAATTATTATTCGATTTTCATAAAAGTGACACCATTTGATGTGTAATGTCAATTTTAACTAGATCAAACCAATTTAACATTTTCAATATCACCGGAAATGACGTAATTTGGGCAAAAATTGTATTTATAGCCTTCGAAACCAGTAATTTATTCAAATGAGTCATATTTGTTTTTTGTTTAAAATTTTGATATTTGATTCAAATCAACTAATACAATGAACCCTTACGATCATATAGATATCACAAAATGGTTTCTAACTTGTTCAGTTGCGGAGAAATAGGCAATTTTCAACAGGTCACTTTTTAAGGTTTTTTTGTCAATAAAAGTGTCAATTATTATTCGATTTTCATGAAATTTTCACTGTGTGATACATAATGCCATTTACGATATCATACAAGTAATTTAAGATTTTCATTATCACCGGAAGTAACGTCATTTTGGCAAAAACTGTATTTTAAGCCTTCAAAACAGATATTTTATTCAAATGAAACAGATTTATAATGTTTTTAAAATTATGATATTTGATTCCAATCAACAAATAGAATGAACTAATTCGATCATACAGATACCTCAAAATGGTTTCTAACTTGTACGGTTGCAGAGAAATAGGCGATTTTCTACAAGTCATTTTTCAAGGTTTTTGGTCTATAAAGGTGGCAATTATTATAGGATTTACATAAAATTTTCACCATGTGATGATGCTATTTCTGATTTCATAAACCAATTTAACATTTTCATTATCACCGGAAGTAATGTAATTTTGACAGGATCACTGACATGTAGCAAATGAATTGATTGCTGGATTTGGTTGTTTCTGCGTCCATTTTATTTCATGTGTGCAATGCTTATGTGGAAACCTGTTTAACGGTTTCATTGGTACCGGAAGTGACATAAGTTCAAGGGTAACGTGGCACCGGTGAAACCCGTCATTACTGCTTCGCAGTTCTAGTTATTTTTAGTAATTACACTTTTTAGTTAACCGGAGTCCCCTGGACTTTGGTCTCTCATTACTATGATGGTCCAGAGTTCAATACCATGTTTGTTTTTTTTATAACAAAAGTTGCCTACATACACGTAACATAGATAAGGGCCTGTTACTAAACCACAGCTTTGGTTTAAACTCTCCCATTTATCTCTAGCTTTGTTTAAATTACCCCGAAATTGAAGTACAACTGTCTGAGAAGTCTTCAGTTTGTAAAGAAAACACATTTTGCATGAATTATAGATTATTTTTTTTACATT